AGATATTTGGCCGGAACGATTGAGTGTGGTTTGTTATATCTCAACGGAAGAAAAACGCAATTAAAAGCATATAGCGACGCAGATCATGCGGGAGATATGGAAAGTCGACGTTCTACGACCGGATATGCGTTCAAACTGGAATCAGACCTAATCAGTTGGAGCAGTGAACGTCAAAAATCCGTATCAATTTCGACAATGGAGGCTGAATATATTGCAGCATCGGAAGCTACGAGGGAGCTGGTGTGGCTTGTTCGTTTTATCAATGAAATTATACCGAACGAAGTGAAAAAGGCCATTTTTTTCATGGACAATTTAAGCGCGATAAAATTGGTCAAAAACCCCGAATTCCACAAACGCAGTAAGCATATTGATATTCGATATCATTTTATCAGGGAAAACTATGAAGGGGGTTTGTTCAATCTGGAACATATATCATCCAGCGAAATGATAGCCGACATATTTACAAAAGCTCTGACCAAACAACGTTTTGAATACCTTCGTTCATTAATTGGCATAATGCTGAATAAGTAATTTTTATGAAGTTTTTTGTTTATTAATCATTTCTGTTTATTAATCATTTTTTGAGCATATAAATTTAGAGTCATTTTGATACAATAATGTAATTCGTTTTCAACCGTCAGTAGAAGCACATCGTAAAAATAAAAAAATGGGTTGGTTTTTTGGATCGGAAGAAGAAGAAATGGAAGTGAATACAAAAACGGTCGACAGCAATGGCAACATCAACAACAACATAATATTTCAAGAAGCCAAAGACACGCACCAGCAAATGTTGTTGAATGAGAAATTATTATTCGCGACCTATGTGCTGATATTTTGTGAAGTATTGAAAATCGCCGTTTATTTGTACAATAGCTTCAAGAGAACCATCAAGAAGAAATATCAACTTCCACGAAACAACGTTCCAGCACCACATCCCAGACAAAACCCTGCACAAAATGGACAATAATTTTTTGACTTAATTTTTCTTCTCTTAAATATTATAAATTTGCTAATTTTTGTAAAAACAAAGATAAGTTAAGTTCTATGAAAAACGAAATCAATTTGCAATTTTTATAGTTATTATATAAAAAAAAAAAGCAGAAAAAAATGTATGTATTTAAAATGAGGGAGTGTTGAATATATTTTTAAATCAAACATTGTTTTCATATATATAAGAGAGACAAATAAAATTTCATTGTCATTCATTCTTTGTCAGTCAACCTGTGTGTTTCATTCATAATATTAAGCATTCTCTGCAATGGTGTTCATTCTATATCAGTACAAGTCAGACTGCTTAATAAGTAAAAGCATCAAAGAATACGTTAAACAAAGTCACAACCAAATAACCGGCTGGGAAGCATGAACTGCTGTCTGTTTCTAGTCATTTTTGAAATATGTCGTATGACTGCCAACAACACAAACACTGTATATGGAAGCAATGGAAAATCATATATCTACGTAATTTTTAGCAAATTTGTTACGGCATGTTATACTTCCAACTTTCTCGTAACGTTTTTTGCTGAAGACACAACAATGTCCCAACAGTTGTAGAGTAAACATAAAGCCCAAAGAGGAGCTAAAGCAAAGACTTGATGCACACATTGTTTTCATTTAGCCATTTTGTATCTAGATACTTTTTCATGTCTGTTGCACAGAGAGAATATGTGACAGAGGTTTAGTGTCGGATGGAAAATGAAATGTGATGTGTTAGAGGGGATTATTCACTTAGTTTTCAGCAGAATGTTATCTATTACTGTTCTCTCTCTCTCTCTCTCTGTGTGTGTGTGTGTGTGTGTTTTTTTTTTTCTCTCTTCATGTTCTTTCATAGTTATTATTGCAATTTGACGCATGAAATGGTACAAAGGATTAAATTACGTAAATGAAGTGTTTACATTTCACTGTTTGTCCTTTGTTGAAGCTGATTACATGACAATAAACATTAAGTTTCGAGGAAATAACAGCGATGTGATAAATTGCCGGTTATTTTCTCCATGACATGACAAAAAGAAAAGAAGACATTCAACCAGAAGAATGGTATTCAGATAACTTTTTTGGGGCGCATAACTGATCTTACAAAAAATTAGTATTTTTTTTAAATGTCCTTCATATATACGAAGTAAACTGCTGCCCGCTTTTTTCGATTCCTATGGCTGTTACTTTGGCTGTTAATAATGTCTTTTCAGTTTGTTGACGATTCTCCCCTTTTTGTATCCCTTATTTTAAATAAGATGCTTGTCAGAGAGTTCGGGAAATGAGTTTACTGCACATCCGAATAAATGTTTAAACAAGAAAAAAAATGTCGAACAGCCAGGACGATTGTTCGTAAAAAATTTGTTTAAAGTTTAGTATACATTGAAATATTGCCAGAAGCCAAGTAGCAATAAGTATTGCTATATATATAGATTGAATGAGACTAAAGTATCTTTTACAAACCGTGACGCACAAAAAAAATTGTATAAACTATATAGTTCAACAACAGAGTACAAATGTTGCCGAAGAAACGGAAATAAAAAAATTGATGCAGAAATTAGCAAGAAATGTTCGGATACAGCTTACTCAAATAGTTCACCGAATGGTTGCTATGACTTCAAATCCCCCAACGCATGAAATGAAAAAATCGACACTTTGTAAAAAATGCCAAACAGAATGAAAAGCGATTTTCTTCTCAAAGTAAATAAATGAAAATCTAACGCATGCACCAAGACATTTGTCAAGAGAATCCATATTTTTTTTTGCTTGCTTGCTTGCCCTAGGCGATAACAGTGATATTCTTACAGTAAAATACGCTTGTGAAACAATCAAGCATCCGAGATATTTACTTTTTCAGCACTTTTTACTATTCCCATAGAAGCCCCAGTATTGTATGCTACAATGATTATATATTTTAATGTTCTCGATGAAAAAAAAAACTGAAAAGAAAATGCACAAACTATGGACCCATTTCAATGAAAACAAAAGAAGGAAAAAATCATAAAAAATTAATGAATGCGATCGAATTGTGAATAATAAATCCATTTTGTTCATTGTAAAAGTCCTCGAGCAAAGCACCCTCTGGGCCGAAAATCATTCGAGAATAAAATTAGTACACGTACAATATATACGGTATGTATGGCGATCGAGAACCGATTTCAGAGTCAACTCACGATAAGTCACCGCAAAACCAAATGTCGCTCAATGCAGAAACGCTATGGACATCAACAATTGAAATGGACACTTTGCACAAACCCGGATGCCAAATGAATAGAACGAATTAAAAAGAAACGTTTTTGATTTCAGTTCTTCGCAGAATCTCAATGAATGAAAACTTTTGTAATGTCCACCACACGAAAACGAAAGAAAATAATTTACAAAAAAAAAGGAAAAAACTAAACGGAAGTGTACTTTTTAAAAGTGTTTTTCTGTTCTGCCATTTTTTTCTCTTGCATCAAACACGAAACACACGAGCACCGAATACGAAAAATATAAAGTTTTCAAGTTGAACACAATATTCTTTACATTTTAATGGATTTTGAACCATACGATATTTGCACAATAAAGAAACATCCATTTTTTGTTCAGCATTGCGATTCGACGTTCTAAATTTTCTTCTAGTTTTATTCTCTTTTTTTCTGCTCGTTCATTTTTCCAGAATTTGAAGTGAACTCAAGCATTCTTTTGTAGTGTAATGCACTTCTGGGATTTTTGCGCTTTCTCTCTCTGCCTCTCTAGCACTTCCATACGCTCTTGCCACACAAAAAGTCTTTAGCAAAGCACGATTCAGGTCCAATGTTCCATTTCACAAAGTGAATTCAAAAGCACCACACAGTGACGAACACACGCTCAATTTAATTTTTCGTACTCACTTGATGCACACGTAGCGGATATAAATTTACACTCTTGCAATATAATTTTGATGTTTTTGATTTGTGGATTCTATTTTTTTTAAACGCGTGTGTTTTTTTCGCTCTTCTCATTTGTACTCGCTTTGATTTCGTGAATGAATAGAAAACAGCGTTTTATTTATGCGAGAAAATAAAAAAAAAGAGAAAAGAGGAATAAAAAAACAGAATTCGAGATATCGTAATTTTCGAAGCGAACTCAATTAGTTGAACAGGCACGAATTTGGAATTTGAAATTCCAATTAATTGATTAATATATTCATCGATTTTGGACATAAATAGAGATCAATTTGAATATTTTAGACATTTTGATAGAATTTCCCATCGATTACATGGTCAGGCAGGCGATAATCGATTTTAATATGCGAAAACCGGAGTAATTAATAAACCACCAATTGAGTGTTGATAGCTTCATTCTGTGGCACACACACACATACACAATCATCTCAACGCGCAAATAGCTCGTAATGGAAAGGCAATTTAAATGTCTCAAATAACTTCAATTGTGGATTGGCTCGAAAAGATCACCCAATTTGTTTACCGTATTTGTTAGAAGTAAAATCTACAAAATTCCCATCACTCGAATTCAAATCGAATCGATCGAGTGAAACATTACTATTGAATGAACTATAAATCATACGGTGAAGAGGTGATCGTAGCAAATCACGAATCAAAAATCAATTACATATTTCAAATTTCATGTGGTTTTGAAATATTCAATCATATGTTGTTTGCAAATGTTGGTTGCGAACATCACAAAAGTCATATGGCATGGTACTTTAACTGATCAAACACTCATCATCATAGCGAACACATACACAACATGAGCCCATAGCAAATTGACACTCAACAAATTGATTATTCATTCTCTTTAAATAAACAGTTTTCGATTTGGAATACATTTTGGTAAATCACTTGAAAATACAAGCTCACCGAAATTATGTGCCGCAAACTTGACTTATTTCACACATTCAAATCCACAATAATAACATTTCAAGTGAAAATATGATGATTTCGTATCTTAAAATGGATAATCGTTTGAAAAAATTCGCCTGATCAATATCAGTTTGGTAAACGCAATTTCATTTTAACTTCTCAAAGTAGTAACAATAAAAAACTAACATTTTCGGTTTCTTGTTAAATCACCATTAATTTCTTCAACCAGATTGAACACCAAAATTGATTGTATCCAAAACAAGTCGTTATTTCAATACGCACATCCGTTGATGGTATTTTTTTTTTTTAAAACACACTAAAACTGTACTACCACGTCTATTTGCACCGAACTCCAAATGCAGACTAACCAAGTTCAAATCGGAATCTATGCATAGCCATACGCACAATTCAACAAACGTTTTCTTTGGGACATGGATTTGTGACAAACGAATGTAGGGGAAACGGTTGCTCAGCTGAATGGCAAAGCGAAAGAGGAGAATGAACGAACAAACGTACGAAAGACGATATCAATGGTGCATTGTGTGTGGTAGGTAATAACATCGGTGTGCTAATGTTTGCTTCGTCTGATATATGTATGCCGGAGAGTCGGTGTTGTTTTTGCTGTGATTATTGTCGTTCTTCTTCTTGCTGTTTTGCTTGTTGTTGTTTCTCCGAAATGGTAAATGTTATGTGCACATGCAGTGTGCTTTATCGTTCTCACGCTGAAAATAAATATCGGCTGGACAATTTAGTTCCCCTGAAGTCATACAGCAAAAGCAGCAACAGCAGCTGTATGTTTATGGTCAAAGTGATATGTGCTGAGTGCACGGAGTATACACTGGCATTGGTCCGCGGGACACATTCATTGTTTTTTGCGAGCTCCGTTTTGCGCCGTATTTTTTGTTGTTGTTGTTGTGTAACCGGTAAAAATTCGTTGTTCGCTTGAATCGAATTGCGAATATTAAGAAATGAATAACATGCACTTTCGGAATATAGCGTGTTTCGTTGGTGTTCTCTTCAATTTTGAACTATTTCCAATTCGTTGTTGATGACTCTGAACACACAGAGCGAGTCTCAGCGCAAAGATTTACTAAACTTGTTCATATGGTGAAGAAGACAAAACAAAACAAAACAAAAATTGTCTGAACGTTGGCAAAAAAAAAATTAACATTTGCATCTCTCCGTGTGTTTTCGTTATTATCTGTAAACATTTCTCGGCCTAATCGTGGTCGAGGTGCAGACACGTGCTGCAGCTACACTCATTTACTTCATAAAGAAGACTTGATATAGTCATTATTAGTTGGTTCCTGAACCCATTCCTTTGATTCACTTTCAAAATCGTTTGCATGTTGGAGTCGTGTAGCCTTCTGCAGCACACCGATTTACATTTTTATCGTCGGATCGACGATTTTTTTTTCGTTGCTGTTGATTATTCGCATTATTGCTTTTCAGCACTGGAAGACAAAGAAAAATATTTGACTGACACCGAATTATTCAAATTGATTTTGAATTTCGTGAGTTCGGATATGATCGTTAATTGACAGATGTACATTGAGTGCGCATCACAAAAATTAAATCAAATTTCAACCATCTTTTGACGGTCGCGACAAAGACCGATGTTATTTATGCGAAGCACGAAAACATGAATGTCATATTTTTATGATTTATATCTCGATTTTAATACGAATTCGCCGAAATGGGAAAAACCGAACAGAGATAAAAAAAAAGACAAAAAACATCATTCATAGCATTTTAGGGCATTGCAAATTTCTTTGACATATTTAGTCCGAACGAAATCTGTTTAAAAAAAGAGTATTTTTTTCTCTCATTCAGCAGAGCAAATAAAATCAAAAGGAAATCGTACACAGACGACCGTCGCAGTTTAGAATCATAAATAATTTATGAACGTTGACATTGTTTAAGTGTCAACATTAAAAACGTTTTAAAGACCTGATGATGGAAACGAGATAAATCGATGCACGAACAGAACAGATAAAGTTAAAAAAAATCGCACAACAACTACGGATGATGACTAAAAACAGGAATAAAACGAAATATGCCCTTTGAATAACATGTTAAAGCAAAAATTTGTAAGCATGGGTTATTATTATGTGTTGAATTCTGTTGCGTTTTTAAGTAATAAAATTCATTTTGCAGACCATAAGAGCTGCTAAATGAAAGGCGACAACCGAAAAATGATAAAATATGGAATTCCATTTGTGCAGAGAGCAATATGCATCAAATGTAAACGCATACAGCATACAGCATGTTATAGCCGGAGTCGTGAGTCAAGCAAATTCCGAGTTTTGCGCAAATTTCAAGCGAAGTAAAACGATCAAATAGAAAACAATATGCAATGTTGTGCATAAATTGCTGGAGCAGCCGCAACAAATTCAAAATAAACTGTAAGAAGTTCACTTTGCCTGCACACAACAGAGAGAAATTGAAACGAACAGAGACATTGAAGAAAAAAAAACACACACAACATCGCCCAACATAACACTTATGAAGAGAGAGAGTCGGACGAAATTGCATTTACATCTTTCGCGCGAGTAATTTAATGAAGTGTAATTTTCGTTGAATACCATCATTGTGTTTGCCTCGCAATTTATTTCTTGCTTCGTGTGTTTTGTCTTTTTTTTCTGCTGTAAAAATCATTTCACCGAAATGAAGAAAAATTAAAATATATAGAAAATTTTAATAAAGGAGTTTGAATGGGATTTTTTTTTGTTTTTTTGAATTATGGCGAAACATTCTTGAGTAGAGTTGCCAGTTCGAATGGTGTTGATTCTTGATGCGAACAGAAATTTTTGTTGTAATTTTCAATGGATGTTCAAGTCGAATGCAAACAAACAATGCTCTAAATTACATGTATCGAATTCGTCATCGTTCATTTGCCGTGCTTCACATCAATGAGTCTTCATCCTTTCGTTGATTTTTGTTGTTATTATTATTTTTCTTCCATTCTTTTCACATGTTTATTTTGTATATGCGGCATTCAAGTGTTTATATGCAATCCGATACTCTGGCACATCTCATAAATGTCGGTGTTTTGATTCCGATGGCCTCTGAATTGCATTTTAGTCGTCAGTATTTGATTTTGGTTTAAATGCAATAGAAAAACACAATGCCGCAGGAATTACAAAAAGAAAGATTTGAATGATGAAAAATAAGGATATGTTTTTTTTCCTCTGTGTTCGCGCGTTCTTCAGAACTCGGTTCATTCACAACGACAATGATTTGCATTTTTTAGCATCAGAACAGAACGAATGGATTAAAAAAAGGGCAGAGCAAAGCAAAACAAATGAAAATAAAAAGCGCGACGACAAGCACTGGATTTTCTGTCGTCGTTAGAGCAAACAAGCACCAAAAGAAATATACAATGAGATCATTTTGGAGACGACACAGCACCGATATCGTTCACAAGAATAGTCTTGAGCCAGAAGAATGCATTTTCATTGTCGTCAATGATTTTGCTGTTGTTGCTGAGTGGGCTTTGTTTTTTATTCAGAATAAAAAAAAATGTGTAGTACTCTTTCCGGCCAACGCAACCATTGAAACTGAGACGAGCCGAGCCCAAAGGACTGCATCGAAATTCAATGTGAATGGCACATTACTCGAGTGTTGAATTCATATTACCATTCGATCGTATTCTGCACATAAGTTTCACATTAAAATACACATATCATCCATGACAATCTTTTTTTTCCTTTCTCATAAACGAACCCATTCAAGTAAAGCAATTCAAAAAATATTATCGAATCGTTTCTTCATCTAATTTCAATCTTTCCTTTAAGAAAAAAAAAACGTTTTTTTTTCTTCAATTCAGAACACACAAAAAAAAACGTTAACAGCAACAATGAAATTAAAATAAATAAATATTCAACTCTTTCATTTTGGACACCGTACAGAAATGTATGTAAATAAAATTCGTGCTCGCTCATGCAATTATGGGATTTAGTTTTGTTTGAATGGCAGTTTTTCTATACAATATTTTTTTTTTGTCTATTTAATTCGCCTGCATCCAAAAACAGAGTTTGAACCGAGAAATTTCGAAAATAGAACGAAAGAAAAAGAGAGAACGCAAACGACACCATGCAATGCCCACGTACTATCTTTCCAAAGAAATGTTTACCCATTTTACCGTTTTTGTGCATTTATTTACTAGCATCATGCTCCCGGCCAGCATAATGTGACTTTTATTGTGATTCTGAACGTGCAAACAATAACGAGATAGAGAGAAAGAAATTGTTGAATTCATTTAGTAATGAGCGAATAACCACAAAAGAAAAAAACACCAATTCGTCCATTTAGAAACGAAAAGAACTCGGCGCGCAAACAAACAACCATTGAGAAATAAAAACGAAATCTGTAAAAGTTTCAATGTGCATTTCCTTCAAGTCAAATGTTTTTAATTAACTTCTATGCTGCAGTCCTTTTATAGATGGAAAAAATGTGTTTGAAGTAATTTCAGTGTCTGGTGTTTGGTCAAATCAATAAATTGAAGCATTCATCTCAATTTCAGTAACTTAATTGAAATATTTCTCGCTTGACGAATATATAAAAAAAAAAATTATTAAATCTCTCACGAAGAAATAAAAATGTCACGTTATCGATGCTCATTTCCAGGTGTTAAGAGTGCCAATCACTCGCAGATAATTCAATAAGGTAGACGCATTTTTTTTTTCAATTTTCAATCAATTTTGAAGAAGATAAAATATGCTGCCGACGTTACCACAAATATTTACTCATCAACTGAATGTTTGGAATTTCATTTGAATCGCCTTCCACCATGAATCAGATTAAGTCACGCCGATTTTATGTTTGAAATCAGTTAGCTCAAAACAGTCTATTCACTCCTACTTAATAAATGGCCATTTTGTTCCCACTAATGCGATTTTTGTGAACTCATCGAATCGAATATTTCAACAAACGTTTAATAAAAGTAAACAGCGTTAACTGAATACTCGAGCAATTACTTAATGAAACTATTTGTTTGACACTAAATCCCAGCGAACGAGAAAATAAATGATGGTTTTGTGATCTTGTGACACTTGATCAACAGATACACACACATATATCGTGATTTGGATACAAAATTGGGTGTTCAATGTTCATAGTTTTATTGTATTCGGATGAACGTTGATTTCACGCATTCCATCCGAATGTAAATAAATTCACAAAAGTGTAAATTGAATTTTCAATAACAATGCCACATCGATTAAGTATTGTTATTCCATTACTGATCAAAATCTCTCCAATATTCATTTCTTATTTAATTAAATAGTCACTAATTCTCTATTTAGAAATGTGAACGCTTTGTATTCGTGGGCAAGAGACAAAAAGCA